AGTGGCATTTTTGTAAATTGACATCCTTAAGTGGCATTCTTACAAATGTGCACACAAAAAATTGACATTTTTGTAATTGTCCCAATATTAAATGAGGGAGTGAATTATTCGAACTCACAATCCTGAGCTCGCCACTTTGTTTGGTCGCAAGTCAACTAACTTTTTTTGGGGTAATACTTGCTTAGGGTCATTTTTTTGTGTATAACCAAAACAAAAAAAAATTAATTAAAAAATAAGTAAAATAGGAATATGTGGCAAAATCATAACCATTGGACGTGGAGTTTTTGGTTAGATTTTAGATTACAACTTTTTTTTGTTATTTTTGCCAATTTCCCTACTTGTTTATCTAAAGACGTGGTTACAATTAAAAAATTAAACCCATAAATTCAATGTCAAATAGTCCGAACTTAAAGCATAACTAAAATACATGATTACTTATCAGAGAGGAAGACGGCAAGCTCATGCTTGGCTTGATTCTCCTCTGGACCGACACTAACGATACATTTTTGATGGACTTCCAGTCTTCCACCATGGTCAAGTTAAAGTTGTTTACAGACTAACTAAAGGTAAACCAACAAAATATATTCAAAAGAGACTACTCATGGTCCATTACGATCACGAACTGATTTGGGCATTGAGTGGGTCCATGATGGCTATATCACAGTTTACGGACGATGATGTGAAATGAATTACATGATTATTAATATATTTGGAATATATCAATTAAATTATATTTTATGTGGGGGCAAAATATGATGACGACGGTATACGAGACAATTATGTCAATTGACCGTAAAATGGTTTGGTGGGAGAGATGTGGTCGGATATTTAACATATCAATCGAAAATTTTATAAATCTCGTCATGTTTTGATATTTGGGACTGATTGGAAAGTTGTTTTTGTCTTTTTTTTTTGTTCTTAGAATTTTAGGTTTGAAATTAGTTTTTGATAGTACATGTGAAAGCATGAAATTATCAATTTCTCAACCACAAACTCTACATTCGAATTTAGATTCTAGCTGCATTTGGGAAAAAGTATTTTACAATCTTATATGTATCATTTAAAACCAATCTCTGGTTTGATAGAGTACTAATAAATAACAGAAGAATGATTTAAGCACTTCCATTATCTAACCAAATACTCTTTATGTGGTTAAATCCCATCCATTAATTTTAGGATTTTTTGTTAGTTTTTGAATTATATTTTTTTTTTTGGCTATCTAGCTAATTGATCCATTATATAAAACCTCTATTTTTTTGTCACATCATATTATTTGAAACCAATTTGATAATGTCTTAATACTTAGTCATGACAGAACAAGATGATTAAACACTTCCATTATCATATTATTGATACTATTTAAGAAGGGTTAATTAAGAGAAATTGTGAAATCATGGAGTGGAGTGGTAGGTGTGAGAGAAAGACAGATCGAGCATAGTGTGGTAGTAGGTGGAAGAGCCATGAACACATACTTAGGATTTGCCGACTATTCCGGTTAAGCGTTTGGGCTTGATGGTTTTGCTTTTGATTCCGGTTTGAGTTACGGTTTTTAGTGATTTAACAACTCTATGAAACATTCTATATATTTGTGCTCCAAGGAATGCCCTAAAAATTAAACGAAATGCTACAATGTGTTGCAACTTGCAACAAGTAGAGGTATTTTGCGCTTTCTATAATTTATAAGCGTAACATTTCCAAGCTATATGAAGACATTGAAGCCTATGTACATTAATCAATGTTGAAAACAATATCTTGTTTAATTATTATTCTGTTTTAGTTCTAGTTTGTGACA